TGCACCTGCGTGATCATTCAAGGGTATTGGGTTTCATGTCGGGGCGCATTCATTTTCAGATTCATCCAAAATCATGATACAAATCGGTAACCATCACCATCAGAGAGGCGGGTTGAAACTGTCTTGATTATCCGGCCCCATAAGGATAGATCAAGCAGTCATTATTATCATAAACAAATTAGTGATTTTCGTCCAACGAATGAAAACTATAACTGATATTTGAATTACCTTGTATTACTCCATTAATCAATTGATCAATCGTTTAATAGGTCAACTATTCAGTTTTAGATTGTGTTAGGGTAATTAAGATTGTCTTAATACGGAGTCAATTCAACCAAGGTTGATGAATTCCGTTTAAATTTAAGATTCACATGAGATTCCATTGAAAACAAGTCAGTTTGTTCATAGTCATTATGCAAAATCTCCTAATTCCAGATTGTGTGGTTGAATGATGAGAGATAGGGGCTAAAATACCATCAGCCCATGGAGCTTAACTATTCTTACTGTCTGGGAATAGCTAAGACAAAACTGTGCATGCCCCGAAAATAAAACTGACACATTTATTTTATCTTTGGCCGAATTATAACCAAAATCATTCGGATCTGAGATTCCGCGCTTCTCAATGGGTGCGCGTGACAGGACGTAAGAAAGCTACATTAGACAAAATGGCTTAAGCTTATTGCAAAACTCGTCTTCTTTTAGGAAAGATAAAATCATTAGGTCTATCAAGTCATCAACAATGACTTGTCTGGGCTTAAATTCAATACTGCTAACGTACCTAGTAACCTACTAAATGACATGTATTTCTGAATAAAAGGGGCCAGTAGCACTCGACATATTCAATCAAACTATGGTCAGTTCAAAATGTGACTGAGGTACAGAGATTGAAATGTACATAGCGCATCCAGTCAAACATGGTTTATGTCTTACCTTACAATCCTACACATCAAACGCGATAGAGTATATCTCATAATACACGTATCCAGTGTCGCAATACGTTCTCTTATTGTGCAACAAAACGACCTGCATGACGGAAGCTCGAAATCGAGTAAAATAAATTGATAAATTTAGTTGATGAATGTTTGGATTAGCCCATTCGGTTTATGATAGGCACCAGGCACTGTTGATGATATTCGGTGTGGTTTTCCCTCCTTGAGAGATCGGTAATTTTCCACTATTAGAATGCATTTCAAATGNTATTGGAAATGACAGGGACACAAGAAGTACGCACGCTGCTGAGGAACCCAAACGGAACGAAACAGCCGTCCATTGCTCTTTTTCGGTTATCACAAACATTTCCACTACATTGATAAAGTTTGTTCCGTTGCATAGATGACGCAGAAAAGCAGATCTTGGTGGAAAACTGAGTGCTGACTTAGTGCATCAGATTATATCCTCGTGTGTGTGGGCACATGAATGGAACATTAGCCAAATTAGGTAAGTTGATGGCCGATGGAAAATAGAATCTGAGAAAGTGTATATGCGCCCTTGGTGAGCGTAGATCAATTCCATCGCTTCGCACTTTTTTGCTGTTTCTCTGCTGAGCGCTATTACCAGCTGATTGAGCATTCATAACTAATCCGAGCTGCTTGCATCTTTGAAATGAAGCAAATTGGATCACTTGATAAATTGTATTGCAAGCACGATCATTTCGGATTNCGTTAGATTCTATTTTCTGATGGTTCTGATACGCTTCTGAGCAGAAAATCTTATTCTTTCATTTTTAAACTTTCGGAAATAACACACCGATTCAGTTTGTTACCGATTGCGGATTTCTCCAACCCTTTTCGAAATATTATGCACACAAAATAATAACGTTCGCTTGTGTTCTGTTCAATATACTGGGATAAGTATGGAAATAAACTCTTTCATGCTTCAACGCATCTACACTGTGGTAAAGGGTAATGAACAGGCTGCTAGAAGCTGTTTACAGAAACAACAAAGTTACTACCACAAAGCACACACAAACAAAGTGGACGATGGTAAAGTCTAATGCGATTTTCTATAAACAACCCAAAGCGAACACGGTACTGGCTACAGCCCAGTATACGATCTGCAGATGAGAATAGAAACAATGACGGGCTAATGCCAGCAAACATGAAGCAGAGATCGATGTATCAGTTTCAAAGACCCTACAGGAATAACACTAAGAGGAACAGATGGACCGGTTCTATTTCGTCTGTTCGCAACCGGGTGTGGCAATTTATTTGCAAAAGTTTCATCCCCAGCCGAGGTGACATCATCCGTGCTTGTGAATTGGCAGTATTCTGCTTGTATCCGTTCGTTTATATATGTGACCTTCTCCACCGACTTATTCTCACTGTGTTTGATTCGGTTCGCCCTTGAACTGGTGCGAGTGAGGGTGTGGAGTGAGGGTGTGATAGGAGGTGATTGTCCTTCCGTCCTGATTGCGGTTTCGGTCCGTTCTCAGGTCACGTCGTGACCTTTTTTGTTGCGTCATTTGATCCTTGAGTTGCAGTGGCGTGTACACGTGATCCAGTTCGATGTGCCTGTTTATTTAGTTGATTTAACAGTGCCAAGCCTCGAGAGATTCTCTGGCGTGTTTTGAACGGGGTTGGTCGATAATTTTCACTGACTCAAAGTGAAACTGGTGTCCTTCTTGATCGTCGTAGAGGGAAATCACCGATAGTGGGTCATGCCTTCTAACACCTGACTGGTGTTCACAGATCCTTGTTGACAGTTTTCTTCCAGTTTGTCCGATGTAGTGTTTTGGGCAGTTCTTGCAGTTTATTTTGTAGAGAACACTGCTCTTATCCATCTCCATTGTTCTCTCCTTGGGTTTGACAGAAGTCTCCTTAGACAGGCGGTTGGTTTGTTGGTGACTTGGATTCCGTATGATCTGAGCAGTCTTTCTGTCATTTCCGAGACGCCTTTGATGTGTAGTAAGATCTTTCTTGTTCCCGATTCTTCGTCTGCTGTTTCTTTCTCTCTTTGGGTAAGAGTTCTATTGATGAAGTTGCGGGTGTAGCCGTTCCGAGCAAATACTCTGAGGAGATATCTTTTTTCCTTCTTCTTGAGTATATCGGTGCTGCAGTGCGGTTGGATTCTTCCGAACAAAGTTCTAACACATCATCTTTGGTGGCTGGATGATGATTACTTTTGAACTTTAGGATTTGATCCTTATTCGTCAGTTTGCGGTAAGCCGTCGTCTTCAGTTTTCTCTGATGGCGTTCTGATGATCAAGGTGTCCAAAAAAGCCAGTTTATCCTTCTCCGCCTCCGTTATGAACTTGATGCCAGCGAATGTGTGCTTGATGTTGCTAAGTGTTCTTTCTGGCTCCGATTTCTAGATGACGAATATGTCATCAACATATCAAAGTTTTGGCAAGATTATTGGTAGTACCTCCTTCCCCGCTTTTGTATTATGGCTTCAGTTGTGAGTCCGGAAATTGGTGATCCCGTTGGTGTTTGTTTCAGCTGTTTGTAGATTTGACCCTCGAAACGTCTGAACCATTTGCAAACAAATTGCCAAGCTTGGCGGCGGACAGGCGAGATAGAATTCATTTCACCCGATCTCGTATAACCGATTTTTAATACTTTGCCAACAGATGTCCTGGTATTTGGCCAAAACTTTTGGCTCTGAGCCAACCCTATGAAGCAGGTATCCGTCAGGCGTGACACCTCAAACATGCACATCATTTGATCAATACAAGTTTCTCAGGAAACTAATCTTCTTCAATACATTATGTTTATGAGAAATATTCTCGATAATACTGACCATCATCAACGTTTTGAGGTAACCACCATGTGTGTGGTGTTTTGCATAACCACGAAGAGGGGCACCGTTGTTTTCCACCATTCACCTCAATTGACCTCATCAACTCTTCTCTCCTTCTGATCTGTCATTTGCTCAGATGGTATTCAGTTAGATCCCTCGGATGATCAACAGTGTTTCTCGTCTTCTGTCAGCCGGTGAGGAAATGCAGTCTGAGTTTTGGTGTGTCGGAACGCTGACTGCGCACACCTAGTCTGGCTGTGCGCGGTCGAACGAATTGAGTCTGCCCAAAATGACACACACACACACACTCGGAAGCACAACAGAGTCGTTTAGACATTATTAGTGAATACCTCCACTGGCCAATGGATTTTCCGGAAGAATGAACACTATCACCCTACCATCTTCTTTTGATGCGTGAATACCCCTACAAGAAAGTAGGTTGTTCTTTTTTAAACTCTGGATGCAGACAATCACCTTTTGATTTTGATTAGAAATACTGTTATCAAGAGTAAAAATGTCGTTAGGGAAATATTTTTCAGAATCCATCCACTGCCGTAATCATCCTTGCGCTTTAGGTGTACTTTTGGGCTTCAACTATAGGTTTATAAAGAGAACCTGTGGTTCGTATTTTTATTGGCGTTGTTGTGTCGCAGTTTAAGTAGGTGTATAAGCACGCAGTGAATTGAGCAATATTTTTATTGTAGATGGCACACATGTAGCCGGCCCTTAGGTCGGTGAGGAAGCAGGAACGGACAGCACACAGGCAGGCCATCCGACAACTGGCTCAAGCATTTAACAACATCCGTATGCCGTCAAG